CTCTCTTTGGGGGGCTGCTTCTGCGGCTGTTCTGCTTGCCTGCTGGACTTGGGGGCATCTCTACTTTGCTCCCCTTGTCGACCTACTTTATTATTATTATTATTTTGTACAACTCTCGGTGCTATGACCGTGATCTTTATGAAAACTACAATACAAATTTTTATTTCTAACATTAGGGTCTGCTTTCAACCAAGGTGGCCACTTCACATACGGGGCGTCCTTGATCGCCATGAGGATCTCGGCCCGCTTCGCATTGAGGAGCGTGTAGTCCCTTTCTACTGCTGAAGCTCATAAAGGCTGATTTGGCTTTGCCCCTCGAGCTTGGTCCTTCTTCTTCTTGTTGTCGCCCTGAGTTGGGGGCTCTAGTTCCCTTTTCCTTTTCTCGAGGGCCTGCTCGCCCTTCTGGTTGATCTCTTCCTCCGTTCCTATAAACCGATCTGCGAGCTTGAGGAACTCGGTCACGGTCTTAGGCTGGTTGACAATCACGTTCCACTTGAACTCTTTGAGAGTAATACCTCGCTTGGCCGCGGTGAGGCGAACTGCGGGGTCCAGATCGGGTATCTGTAGACAAGCGTCATTAAACCGCTTGATGTAATTCCGAATGGACTCCCCTTCCTTTTGAACTATGCCGAGGAGGCTTTCTTGAGTTCTTGGGCACCTCTTGCTGGTGACAAAGTGGGAGGTGAAAACTTGCACAAACTGTGCCTAGCTTCTTATCGAACCGGGCGCGAGGTTTCGGTACCATGTGCGGGCTACCCCTTTGAAGGTGGTGGAGAAAGCCACACACATACAAGATTCACTGGCTCTTGTCAGGTGCATCTGGAACTGAAAGGCATCCACATGATCATTCAGATCGAAGGATCCATCATACTTGTCCAGTGGAGGGAGCTTGAAATCTCTTGGCATGGGGACAACAAGAAGTTTTGGAGACAGTGGGGAAGGGACTGAGAGGAGAGGAGTAGCTTTTACTTCACCTGAGCTCACCTCCTCTTTACCTTTGAGCTCGGGCAAGACACAAGTAGTAGTTCGGCGAGCTCGCCGGTGTCTTCCCTGCTGCTTTGTCGGCTCAGCGTTGGTGCTGCTTGCTTCAGTGTTATCAAGCTCGATGGGCTCGGACTACTGGTGGTAGCTCTGAATCGAAGGGCCCTGTCTGTAGTCTGCGGCTAGGACCTCAAACGAATTTTCTGCGAGTGGGAGCTTGAACTGCGAGTGCTATGGCGATGTGGGCTTGGCTGGCTGGGAGGCCCCCGACCTGCCCACAGGCTGCGAGGTGGGAGTGGCTGGCCTCTCCTTCCTGCCATGGGAAGATACTTGACTCTTGGAGAGATCCTGGGCCTTAGAGGCTTCTCCCCGACGAGGTCATTCGCTCTGGCGGGAGGGCTTGGTTTGCTTCATGGCTGGGTGCCTAGGGGGAAGCGGTTGCTGGGCCTGAGGTAAGGAAGGGAACTACTGCTGATACTGGTACTGAGAGACTTGATGCAGCACTTGCTGCTGGTAGAGTTGAAACTACTGGAACTGCTGCATTTGAGCTTGCATGGCTCGCATGCACTGCACTAGGTCTTCCAACTGATTCTGGTTGGTCACTGGGGGCACAACCGAAGGTTCAGCAAATGTCGCTCCAACCGTGGAAGGGAGTGGCCTCCTCTAGCAAGCGTGGGCTTGCCCCACTGGGGGCAAAACCAACGACGCCAAATGATACTGTGCAATCCGGGCACTCCTAGCTGGCAGTTGACTGGCTCCTATCTGGCAACGGACGGTACCTGAGAAGAAGACGGTGAAGGATTCCCGGGGGGCTTGGCTAGTGGGAATACTCCGATGCTTAAGTTAGAATGCTGGAGAAAGCTGTAAAGAGTGCAAAGAAGGCTAAGAGTGTAGGTCGTGCTAGATCACTGAGTTAGCTCGAGAGAAAGTCTGAGTAAGTTCAAGATATTCAAGATATTCGAGAGAAGATAAGATCCCTTTTCCCCTTCGACCGAGGGTTTCTTATATACGAGCGTTCTTGTCAAATCGGGCGTAACTGCCACTGAACCTCTGTTGCAGCCGTTATTTGCCAGGGTTGCGCAGGTAACCGTTGCAGAGTACTACCCAATCGGATGAGTGACACGTCCCGGAAGGACAGACACACCACCATCTGTCGAGAGACGTGGGTGCAGTCTTGTCGGGCTGGCAGGGACTGCGCCGTCGGTCAGGGGATGTGGTGCAGTCTGGCGGGTACGGTCTTGTCAGATAGAAGTTTCCTGAAAACATCGCGTCGCTTAGTAGCGAGCTGCCTTGTAGCGAGCTATCCTGTCGCGAGCTACCTTGTAGCGAGCTCCTGAGGGTACTACGAGGGGATTCCTCTTGAAGTGGCCCTTGAGGAAGTTTTTCTGCCTAAGTATTGGAGCGAGCTGGGGTAGACTTGTCTTGGAGTATTCCCTTTTAGTACATCGGGGGTCTTCGAGCCCGCGCTATAGCGAGCTCACCCTATGGCGAACTGTGACGTAGCGAGTTGTCCTGCGGGCTCGTTACTTAGTTGTGGTGAGGCTGTTGTGCTGAGCTGTTACTTGTGCTGAATCATGTCCACGTGTCACCGTCTTAAGGGGTCGGGTCAAATCACCCTCCATCAAAGCTCATCACAAATTTGCGATAGTTTATTAAGCTCATCGCAAGTCTTTGTGGTTTTTGAGATCATCACGGATGTGAACCGAATCATGAACTCATTGCGGGTATTCTTGTGGAATCAGTTTAGCACTTTCTGCACCTCCGCAGTCATGACATCAACATATACCTACACAAGTCATCTTAAAAAAACAGGGCCCTTTGTCAACAATGTGATCACGTTCAAATGAACTTTCAAATCTCACCAAATAAGTGTTTTTATAAAGTCAAAAATAGTTGTTGATGGATGTAATTTATTTTTTATATTGGAAAGTTAATCATATTTTAAGGCTTAGAAGTATTTGGGTTTAGGCAACGTTGGGCATGGGCCTCCAAAGTTAGAAAGGTGTCGAGACAAACACCTAGATCCTAGCTCGAGGCCTAGGTTTCACCTTTAACAGTGGACCTCAATTGGCCATAGCTCAACCTGGCCTACCTAAGTTCTTTTTTATTTTTATTTTTTATTTTAAAAATAAAAACAGAAAAAGTTGCATATTAGGTCTACATGACCTTAAACTAAAAAAACCAAAAACATCCTCCCATAGTAAAGAAAATATTTCACTTGGAAGATTATCAAAAAATTTGAATCTATCTTCTTGATCATGAGCCTTTACAGCTAATGTGTTAGCACACTTGTTTGCTTCATGGAAACAGTGAGACAAAAGGACTTCTAGGATTTGATTTATTAGAGATAGAGTACTTATAAAGAGGTTATCTATCTTCCATTTTTTTTACTCCAACGGGATTTAAGACTCGGCCAGAAATTTAGAATATTCTCTTTGAATAGCTTGTTTGATTCCTTCATGAATAATGAATAGCTCACAATTCTGCCATATCATGAATAGCTCCATCTGTATTAAGTTTAATCCATTTCGTACATGGAGGTTGCCATGATATTGTTCTCTATATCCTATTTACATTAATTAAAGAAGGGTTTGCCAAAGATAAAGAAAAGTAGCTTTAGAGCTTAATTTCCTAATCTTAGTGTCAACAATTTCTTTTGCTGAAAGATAAAGTTATTCCGGGCCCTCCATATATTCCAAATGATAAAATATAAAATAGAAATGTGTTGTCTCAAGATTTTTTAATTGATCAGCCAACTAAATTTTTGTTTTGATAGAAATAGGAGAAGTTACACAAGATGAGGGTAACTCGTCCTCAAGCATCACAAAAGCAAATAGAACTTAAACCCCTACGAATAGAAGAATAACAAAAACTGAGAGTGCCAAGAGTGGAGACTGAAGACCAGCCAATCAAATTTGAAAATCTAGTTGGAGTGATTTGAATCAGAAATGGGCCCAAGTGTATTGGGCCAAGGTACATCTTTTTCACATGTGAAAAATTAAAACTAAAGAATTTCTAAAACAAAAAAAAAAAACTTCTAAATTATCTTAATATCTTATCATAAAGTCACATAAATCTCAAAATACAAGCATGTCTCTTATAAAATCTTTCTTGTGTCTTAATTTTCTCTATTAAAATCTATTATCTCTCTTTCTCTCTTTCTAATAGTTAATGTTTGTAACATGCATCTTTTTTCAGCCATTAAATCCCAAATCTATATCTACATATTAAAATAAGGTTGTGCAAGCATAGTTCTTTTTTTCTTTTGAAATTTTTCTTTTTCTAAATGCTATAGACTCTAACCATTACAATGATGATAGTGGTCTTGGGAGCTCATGAAACAAAATTTACTAATATGTGACAATATTGGACACTCACAAATTGAAGTGAGACTTTATTAGCCTTTGTGCTTTGTAGCAATGCCATAACTTGGAAAGGTTTTACCCAAGTTATTACTTTCTTACCAATTTCTTATTAGAGTCTTCTTGTAAAAAGTACTATGGTAATAGTTCTAACAAAAATGGATTAAGTAAGAAATTATGAGAAGTAGAGAGCTAGAGACGGGTTGAGATTGAAATGAAAGCAGTCGTTTGAGTTCTAACAACAAAGTTAAAAAGCAAATACAATCTTGTATAGGGGTGAGCATTCGATTTATTTGTTTTTAATTGAATATCAAAATTTTTAAAACCAAAATAAAAAAAAAACCGAACCGAAACTAAATTACAATAAAACCTAAATTTTCGGTTTAATTTTTGGTTATTTTGATTAAAAATTGAATTTAATTAATATATATATATAATATTATATATTATAACCTATAATATATATTATGAAATTTAATTTCATTATAAAATATTATATATAATATATTAATATATAAATATATAGCATTAGGGATGTTTGGTTCTGTTTACATTTATTGAGAAAACGCTGCCACCTCAGCGCTATATCAGCATTTGGTGCAATAAACGCTTATTCACATTGAAACCACTGTTTGGTATGAGCGTTTAATGAAAAAACGTTTCCCCAATGATTTTCATCGGTTTCGTGAAAAGAGTCATTGCGAGCAATGTGGCGTACCGAAATTTTTATCCAGTCCAACGCGGATCTATCGTCCCATAATAACTTTTCATCTTTGTTTTACCGTCAGCAAGGTGTTTTTTTCAAATAAGTCGTGACTTTTCTCTTGTTCTACCGTCAACAAGGTGCTTGTCCGCAGTTCTTCGGATTGCAAATCGTCTGTCGTTCTTCGTCAGAAAGGTGATCGTTCTTCATCCACCATTCTTCGTCGGCAAGGTGATCGTTTTTCCCTAAACTTTGCCTTCGATTCATTGTACTTGAAAGAATGAAGGATGCTTTGTTTTAGTTCGACAACAAAATTTTCCTTGATCTTTCCCTAATTGTTTAATCTTAGGCTTAAATCTTAACAATGGCTTTGTTAATTTTAACTTTGATTGTTAATTGTTTGAACGAGCCTCATGGTCCCTTGGTCATGAAACATCAAAAGGAAACAAGGTTCCCATGAATGGCAACCTTACGCCAAGAACTCCACCCTGTTCCGAGTATCTGAAACTTAGACATAGAATAACATATGTGCATTGGACAATTAGCAACGACTAGATTGACAAGCACTAAAAACTTCATACAAACAATAATATACAAGATATATGAAGAAAAAAATATCTGGCATAAAGTAAACTACAAGAGAGCACTTATTAGGCTCTGGATTAGAAATTCAGGCACCGGGAATGGTGGAAGAAAACTGAAAGATCCCAAACCACCATGAATGCTGCATATTAGATGTTTCCAAATACTAGTATTTGGAAATGTTTCCAAATACTAGTATTTGGAAATGTTTCCAAATACCAGAACAACCCACAACATGAATGTTGCATATTAGAAACATCTCTTCATGATTCTACCCATATATCCATATGCGGTTGGATGTTGTTCTCTGAGAGTTTTTTTTTTTTTTTCTTTTAGTAGCAGCACCTTGTTGTATTTTGAGGTTTTGGTTGTAAACTTGTAATTTTCTGATTAACACCATGCTTTACCTTTTCAAAAAAAAAAAAAAAAAACTATTATAAAGATTGCATGGTCATCCCGAAAGAGTTTTTGACTGAAAACTGAAAACTGAAAACCATATGTTAGTACTTTCAGATATGTTTTAAGAGAAATATTTGAAGGACATTGGTTTTCTAGAAAATCGTTGCAATGTTGCTAGAGATTAGGCTTATGGAACCACTTCCTTCCTCTTTTTGGTTTATTGTGAACTCCTCTTAATGAAACTAAAGATACATTTGGACCGGCTCCAACTCCTCCCACAAAAAGAGGAAAGATCCTTTTGCAACTTTACAGTGGCTGCAATTTTTTGGAGTGTCTATAGGATTTAGAATTTTCAATAATAGGAGAAATGATGTCAACATTATTATTGATGATCTCATTCAAGTAGCTCATTGGATGCTTACAAAAGAATTGCATGATGTATGCATTTGTGGATGCAATCTTTCAGTGGCTAGTTTTGCACCACCTAGACAACTGGTGCATTAGGAATAAGAACCACCACTATCTGTCCATCTGTCAAAATTTTTCTAGTCCCGAGCCTATTTCAAATTTTCATTTACAGTCCTTGACATATTAGCCATTTTGTTCTATTCCCTACACCAACAGGACAAATAGTAAATGAATTCCCTCTGCTCATTGAAGTCTATAGCAGTGTGCTTGGCACTGATCCCAAAAAGATCCATCTGGGCCAACCTATTACCAACTATGAATTATATGAGCAGGAGATTCCAAATCCTTCTAATAGTTGCATAGTACCAGACTTCAGAAGAACAAGAGCTGCTTCCCTCTAGTCAATAGCAAGTCTATCTCAATTAGCATATCTTCTAGCAGCGCAGCTCAATGTGGACCAAGGGATGGAATATCCAATTTCTTTATCCAATATAGAATCAGTTAAGTGAAAAAAAGCTAGCTACATTTAGTGGCAGGGGGAGCTTATTTGGTGGGTATCAAGTTAAACTTAGAGGGCTGCTCCATGGGCAACCCAGGCCCCTTCGGTGTGAGTGGTGTCTATAGAAGAACAAATAGGGGTATCATTTTACAGCATTCATGACTTATAGATGAAAGTAATGTAATAAGGGAATAGCTGATCTCTATTCTTCCAGAGAGTGTTGTCAATGCAGTAAGCTGATAACTAGCCATCTTGGTCTCCCTACTCAATGTCATTGTTGATGACTGGTCAGTGCCTGGGTGTTGACTACTCATTGAAAAAAAATTCAAAATTTAATATAATGATGCAAACTTATATGTAAGGGAAAAAAGATTGCAACTGCAATGAAATTATCATTTAAAAAAATTAGTGTATAATATAGTTTTATAAGCAAATAAGGGAAATTGATCAAAAGAGTATGGTATATACTCACAGGTCACTGCTTAGCAATCATTTAGCATTTGTTTTTTTAGAAAGAGTATCTGCAAGTGCAACCCAGACATTGATCAAAAGAAGACCTAAAAATCACTATCTTTTCTTTTAATTCATGAATCATTTCTACTTTATATACCCTAAACTAACCACATGTGCTCATTAATGCTTTTTTTTATACTTAAAGTATGACAAATAGCATTAATATTGGCAAAAAATCTATAAGACATTGAAGCCATTACATGGTGATTGAGTTAGCAGTTAGCACCAAGAAGAAAATATGTGTGGATACAAAATACTTTATATTGTCAAAGTTAGAATCATAATTTATGTGCTCCAATCAACAGAACTCTTTGTGGATAAAAACCCAGAAAACCTGCTGCCACTCAATTCTCCCAATCACCGTCAAGGTTGGGCATGCTTTTCTATCAAAGAAACACCTGTTCTGTTCCTTCCACTAATTCCAGCAAATTGAGAAAGGGCTCAGATTCCCCATGGTCTTGGACGGAAACAAATAGCTGGCCTTGAGGATATTAGAATAGGAAGATCCTTAGGTAATACCCAACTTCTCTTGAAAAAATCATCAGAAAGTGTTCACGCCACAAGAAAGAAAGAACAATGGTGTGGTAAATAGGGCACGGTCCCTTTTGTTCCCCAAACAATGATCATCCAATGTCCAAATACTTACCACGGTTGATTGTTACAATTTTGTCCTACAATACTGTCCACATAAAGAATCAAACCTTTGATGGGAAATTAGTTTCCCATAGCCAACACCAAGTCTCAGTTAGAGACCTCATTAACTGAGTCAGTTGGCACCTTTCAAACACCAATCTGAAACTTTAATTTGTTGAAGCATGATTTAATGCTTTTGAATCTGGTCTCCTTGTGAACATGATCATGTGCTATTAATTCCAACCCTTTTGGTAAGGCATGAACATGATTCAGTAGTCATATTTACTGCTCTCTTTCTCTCATCACTGTGAACATTTTACACTGCTTCGGTCCCCGACTTGGGGCTGGGCCCATTTCCCATGAAAAGGTCTGATTGTGGCATAATGATCCAAGTCGACCTAATCCAACCTTATTAATTACATTGTGTTAGCTTTCTGCATTTTTGAGTTCCAATTGCATCATGATGATGGCAATTAGTTTTATCTGTTCCATCCCGATAAGAAAAAACCCAATTAATTTTGTGATATATATATATATAGAGAGAGAGAGTATAGTCCCCATTCCTAATCCAGGGCAAATTCCATATATTAAAAACAGTCTAGTAACAAAAAAAGCCCATGTTAGATTTTTACTAGTTTTCTTAGGGAACCACAAATTATTGATTAGAGACTAATTTCCATAACTATTTTCCAAATATATCATTATTCATTGGTTGGCTTTTCCTAAAACCCAAGTCTCCTAGGGCACATTGCCAATAAGCATAATACTTGATTTTCCATAGTTGATGCTGATGCTGATGCTATTGCAGTAGCCATTTTGATCATTGAGCCAGACGTGGAGGAGGATTTTATTTAGATGCAAGAGTTTAATTAGATAGGGTTGCATATGCATTTCTGTATACAGGGTTGCATATCAAGATGTGTAGATAGTGTAGCATGGTCAGACATGGAGGAAGAAACATTTATAATGTTGATGGTTGAAATGGTAAGGGCCAATAACAGGCCTACAGGAACATTCACAGGAAGATTTACCATCATCACAAGTTCAAAAACAAGTTTCATGCACTAAAGAAGAGATGATCAGAGCATTTGTCTCTTATTAACCACACTGGCTTTGCAATGGACCCACTGACAGTGACGCCTACTGCCAGTGAAGAAGTGTGGGATGAATTATGCAAAGTAAGTAGTATTTGAGTTGATTCATTTCACATATGAGTGTAGTGGTGAATGTTGACTTTGTGTGTATATTTGCAGAATAATAGATGGGCTAAGAAGTATTGAACGAAAGTTTATCATCACTGGGATGAATTTCATTATATTTTTTAGGGGACACATGCAACTAGTGAGCACGGGTATAGTAATGATGAAGACTCATACATTGTGGTTGAGCAATCACAACATGTGCACTCTTCACCCACATTTAGCAACGAAGAGCATGGACCGCCATATACAAGTGAATCTCAAGCTAGTTCGAACATTGTAGATGTTGGCGGCAATGTCACATCTACACAAGGGGGAGACAGGCACAAAAGAGTTGGCAACCCCCCTTCATCCATGAGGAAAGGAAAGAAGATTTGTTTGCCGCCAAGCATTGAGAAAGCCCTTGGTAATTGGGTGGAAGCTAGTAAGCTAAATTATGAGATGCAAAAGGAACGTATGGAGGTAGTAACTGACACTGGAAACTTGGAGACATGCATACAGATGCTTAATGACGTGTTCTGAGTCCACGTCTTACCCGCTACTTGCTACGTCAAGGCAACAAAGTTGTTTCAAGAGGACCACTGAAGGCGGTCCTCCATTACACTGGATCCAAATTTGAGGGCTACATGGCTTAATGCCTTGGCTGAGGATGAGAACTGGGAAAAGAGCTTCTTTGATTAGCCTTAGTTGTTCACATGTCTTTGTTTGTTTTTTGAGACATAAAACTTTGTTAACTTAACATTACTTGAGTTGTAATGCACTCTGTGTTTTTATGGAGTTTTTTATGAACTTTTGTTAAATGGAATGCTTTATGCCTTATGGATTGCTTTTTGATAGCAATATATTGCTTTGATTCATAGCTTGCTTCATGTTTTATTAGCTTTGTGGATCTTATGATGCAGCAATGCCTCTTCGAAGTGGTCATGAAACTAGTTCATCATTGGATGGGGATGAACTGATAGTTAACACAATTGTTATCCCATTGTCATTGGAGACATATGCACTGAGCTTAACTAGGCAGCCGTGTCACACCTCTTCAATGACTGGACACAATTATATGTGACAAGAAATATTAAATGACCTTGAAAACCTAGATAGGTGCTATGAGTTATTTAGGATGGAATGCCATTTATTCAAAAACTTTGTTGACCTGCTTAGGGGGAGGGGTCTTCTAAAAAACACAAGACGGACCATAGTTGAGGAGTCTCTTGCAATGTTCCTACTCATCGTAAGCCAAAACAATAGAAACTGTGCAATGGCCGAGCGATTTCAACATGGACCATTAACACCCACATAAAGAAGGTTGTTAGAGCAATATGCAAGCTGGGGAAGGAGCTCATTACTCCACCATCCTTCATAGAGACACCAACACACATCAGAAGATCAGAGAGATACTTTCCTATGTTTAAGGTACTTGAATTAGCATATACTTGCTTATACTAAATCTTATTATACCAGTGGAGTAAGGTAATGGTGCTTCTGTATCTAGGATTGTGTGGGGGCTATAAATGGCACCCATGTCTCGACATGTGTACCACGTGACAAGCAAATCCCCTTTAGAGGTAAGAAGAAGGTTTGCACATCAAATGTCTTGGCCTTGTGTGACTTTGACATGATGTTTAGATTCATATACACTGGATGGGAGGGTTCAACTCATGATTCTAGGATACTTGTAGAAGTTATTGTTAGGCCAAACATCCATTTCCCAGAACCTCCCCTAGGTGAGACTAACTATCTCATCATCATCTTTACTACATTAATTAGTAGACTTCATTGTAATGGTATATTCTCTTTATTATATACATGCAGGGAAATACTACCTCTGGCTTTGCTAGTGCACCCTGCTATCTCACACCATACTCTGGTCAGCCCTATTACCTAAGTGAATCCCATGGGCAATGTGGTAGGTTTAGAACCAAGGAAGACCTATTCAACTATACGCACTCATCTCTACGGAACATAATAGAGCGACGTTTTGGTGTACTGAAGGGTAAATTCCCAATCTTGAAGAACATGCCATGCTATGATTTGTTATTGCAACGGTTTATAGTTATGGCATGCTTTATTACTTATAACTTCATCAGGAGAGAGGCATGTAAGGATGTACATCTAAACATATGGGCCGAGGAACAAATGGTGGACAATGAAGATGATGAAGTAAATGGTGATGGTGGGCACGATGGTGAACATGCTTCTAGTAGCAACTCACAGATCAACTTAGTGCGGGATCAGATTGCCAATGAGCTATGGGAGAGATATCAGATGACACACTAGTATATTTGTAGTCTAGTGTGAATTGTGTTCAATTTATTTTTATTTTGTACATTTAATATGCACTGGTCTAGTTTGATAACATGACATTAGCTTACATTGCAGGACATGTATACATTGCAATTGTTCATTCCATTTTTATGTTACCATTTAGTTTATTCATGATACTTGTTTTTACAATTGTCATATAAAACTATATGCAGATACTAATGACGAAGGGAGTTTTTTTTGCCAATGTGCTCATGTGGAAAGGGAGAAATGACATCGCATATGGCCAAGACCGAAAATAACTACGGATGATGGTTTTTCCGTTGTCCATTGAGAGGGGATCATAGGGGCTCTTTCATATGGGTAGACCAATACAATGGGGGATACCCAATACCTGGTAGGAATGCCCCAAAACAACACCGTTCCTCGTCAGTTGTGCAACCACAACCAAATAATAGTAACATTACTTTGTTAACTTGTTGTGGTTGCAATATCCTGTGCTTTATATTTTGGGCATGGGTATGTTTGGTTGTTCTGGTACTCAAGCTTATGAAGTAAAATGATAAAAATATGGAACCCGTCTAAAACTTAACTACATACTAAAACTTAACTATGTACTAAAAATTAATAGATTTCATAGTGATGTTGGCTTATATACAAAAACTTTTTAGACTTGTTAACTAGCAGTGCATACTTGTTAGTGTGGAACACATAAGGCTTTTGTGCTTTTATTTTTTATTTTTAATTTTCTTGGATGTATTTGAGTGTGTGTGTGTGTCATGTGACTATGCCAAATTGAACTGAACTTAAATGACATGGAGTCCTAACTAAATGTCCATAAAGTGCACAAAATGATTCCACATGTTCATGTTCAACCATCTACTTGCCCAAATGCAGAAACTGGGTTACAAACTACTTTCTACTAGTTTTATTTTTGTCTACAAAAAATGTGAAAAGCCCCACTGGGTTTGATTACACTAGAAAACAAGCATATAATAATAGATTTCATAAAGGAACGGAGAATATCTAGGTTTGGAGGCCATTCCCTGAAATCTCATTCAGGCCAAAATAATCAGGCATGGTTCTCTTAGAGTTCCAAAACCATGAACTACCTTGAAGTCTCCATCAACATATTCACATAAACGCCATGACAAAGCATGGATAGAGAGAGCACCCTCATCAAACAGAAAAGTTTAGGCAATTCAAACCATTAAGATGCCCATGCTATCCATGGAGAGAGAGAGAGAGAGAGGGGGGGGGGGGGAATTGGAGGTACAAACATTGGTACATTGTTTTGGGAAGTCGGATTGGGTCGGGGAAGTCAGGTCCTCGTCGGGGATGGGGAAAATTGTCATCCCTAAATGAAAGAAAAAGTTGATAATTTACATAATATGCATCAATAAATATCGTTTTCAAACTTTGAGGACCTATACCACAAATTTTGACCATTAGATGTGGGTTACATCTAGACCTGTTCATGGGTCAGGTAGCTCGACGGGTTAGCTCAGTCCCCGGATGGTCTTGAACATGAGTTTTAGCCCGCGGGCTTGACTTTGGGCCTAAAAGACTGGCTTGATTTTTTTTCGGGCCAGGCTTGGGATTTGTCAAAAAAGCCTGGCCCAGCCTGACTTTTATATAGTTTAAACTTTAAACCCTAAATTCTTTATATCTTCTAACTTATCTTCTCATTCTCAGTTTCTCACTCTTAGACTCGCAGAACCAGTCACCGGTGGCTGATGCCACCATAACTAGGTCGTCTCTCTCTCTCCGGCCGGCACCGTTTTTATCTTCTATCTTCTCATCCTCAGTTTATCACTCTTAGACTCTCAGAATCGGCAAACCTAGGCGCATCGTTTTCACTCTACGAACTCAAGCACCGGTGGTCGGTGCCACCAGAACTAGGTTCTCTCTCTCTCTCTCCGGTCGGCAACATTTTCATCTTCTACCTTCTCACTTTCTCAGTTTTCATTCTCACTCTCAAACTCCCAGGAACCGGTGAATTCAGGCACCGGTAAACTCAAGCACCGATGCTCAGACTCCTAGGCCGGGCTTCGGGCTTTTTATGAGGGTTGGGCTTAGACCCAAGTTGTAGGCCTGTTGGTTGGGCCGAGCTTAGGCTCAGGCCTGAAAAATTTCTGTTAATGAAAAGCAAAAGCCCGACCCATGAACTGGTCTAATTATCCACCATTAGATATGAAAATCGGTCATTAAAAACAAGCACATGTAATTTAGACAATTGGATTGACTAACAGATCCTATACATCAAAGTGAAAGTGTCACACTGAAGCATCCATATGGCTATTTCTTGAAACGCGCCATCAAACAACAAAAAAAAAAGTTTAAAGTGAGCGTTTATCAGATAAACGTTTATTTGATAAACACCCTTCCAATAAACGTAAACGCAACCAAACACATACGTTGTATATTATATATTATATATTATATAATGAATTTTAGTTAATTCAGTTTTTTTGGTTAACTGAATTTCTAAATCTGAAAATCAAAACCGAAAATCAAAATTTCTAAAAATTGAATTACCCAAAAACCGAAATCAAAATTTTCGGTTTTAACTGAATAATGCTCACTCCTAATCTTGCACACTGACCCTAACAAGTAAGATACTTGTGGCCCCAACTCTCACTCTGGTATACTTTCTTGATGTAAATTCCAATAAAAAGGTTTTTAATTTTTGGTAAGGTAGATAGAACAAATGATCAAACATAAATTGAATGATTAGTTTATGGTATAGAATATAGGATGGTATAATATTTTTTTCTTATAATAATTATTAATTATGATAACAAATAGTAGTTATTAAAATTAATAATTTGTGTTTTGCTTTGCCAATTAATTTTACTTTTTTTTTTGTAATAGCCCATTTTTTACTTCCCACTATGATGTTATGACTATGCAAAACATCATAAAATGGTTTGTGTTTTGACACAAAAATGATTTGGGCATACCACATCTTGGCAATTTAATTTGATATGGAAACACCACATTTTGCATCTAATTATGGGCATGGGGAATTGATGAAAACATGAGGAAAACTTTATTATTTGAGGTAGGGGTACGAATGAATGATTGGTAAGCTCAAATTTGATTCATTGATATTTGAAATTGAACATTTTATATTAAAACAATACTGTCCACTATCATATGGCTTCTCCTTCCTCCCCTTCTCCAACTCAGGCTTCTCCTTTGTTGTCTTTCTCTCTTCTTTAGGCCATTTCTATCTCCCCATAATCCATTTGGCACAACCCATATAGAACATGTCCTCTAATGTTCAATGGATTGGCTATATAAAGACTTGTCCAATACATGGGTATTAGATATTTGGACCATTGATCTGGTTTGTACCCTTTACGGGTCCACATTGTTGTGTACTAATAACGCATGGAAATTATCTGTTACAAATCCCCTTCTCTCTCATTAATTTTATTAAATTAAATTTAAGGCCAAATTACCTCTCATTAATTTTATATTTACTCCTATATTTAAATGAATTTCTCTCATTAATTAGTTAAATACTCCTGTAATTAATGCATAATTTTAAATTTGAATTTCACTTTTAGCATCTA